TGTGGACTTCAACTCCCAGAATTCCCCAGCCAGCATGCTGGCTGGGGAATCCTGGGAGTTGGAGTCCACACATCTAAAAGTTGCTGAGGTTGAGAAACAGTGATGTAGATAATCCAAAAGGAACCTGAGAAATAGCTATCCCATTTGGCCATGACTCTGCCTGCCGGACCATTCTTTAGGAAACTTGGATAGCCTCCCCACTCCTTCACCAAAAGGCCATCTTTATATAGGGACACCTGACTTCTAGATGCAGTTCATAAGATTTGGGTTGTTTATGTGTGTTGGGGAGAAAGATCTGGAGGGAGATGCAAGCTGCCTTCTACCCCCAGATTAACAGACATAGAGAGCCCTACAGCTCAGTCAACCTGATTTCGTGGAGCCAACTTTGGGTGATGCTCAATGGCCAAGATGACAAATCATGATCAACGCTCCCCTCCCATCTGAAAGCAACTTGAAGCTGTCCACGTGCTCTTCAGCCCTGCACAAGGACACCCAGTTCCCATTGGTATGGCTCCTCTGTCCCCACCGGGCCAAAAGCTTTTGCACGTGGCATTCAGGCTCTCCATGGTCCGGATCTCTCAAGAAAGGGGAGAATCGCCCACTTCTTCTTTGCAATGCAGATGATCATCGAGTGACTTCCAGAAGTATTTCTTTTATAGTCCCAGTTGGATTGCAACTATTTGATACCCTTTTTCAGACTTTTTTCCTGATGGCAAGCAAAAGCAGCTGATGCTGAACGCTTGCTTTTGCACACTTCATGGGCTCAACACCCAGCTGCAGGGGGCACCAAACCACTGAGCAGACTCCTCCTGAGTCAAAGAAGCCAAGCGTTACATCTCACCAAAGTTTTTTGTCACCTCAACAACCAAACGACAAAAAACTGTTTCCCTTCTCCTGGGGATGTGCATCTGCTTGGCACAGCCAAGATCTGCTATTTTTGTATTACAAAAATCAACCGTCCACTCCTGTAAACAGGGAACTCCTCCTCTTCCTCTACCCCAAGGCTCTGGTAGGAAATGTCCCATTCCAACAGAGAAGCATGATCTTTTCCAAGGGAGTCTCCACCGTCATTCCTGCTTTTTTTCCTCCCTCTTTTGTCCACAGTGTTGGACAAATCCCAGATTGTTCCACACTTCCGTGTACATCAGTGTCCCCACGAAGACAAAGAGAGTGCCAAGCCAATGCCAGACAGTGAAGGAGTTCTGGAAGTACAGGATGGAAAAGATCAGGCTGACAAACTTCCGCAGCGTCACCACCAGCGTGACGGTCAAGGAGGCACACTCGGTGGTCAAGATGAAGACCCCCCGGATACAGATGTATCTGAGAAAGGGGCAGAGTTAAGGGAAATGAGAAAAACGGAGGTGATATGAGAAGATGAAGATGGTGTGATTCCATCTGGTACAGCAACAGGAGGCTTTACACAGCTGTGGTCACCTCTCCAAATGAAATACTCTTCTAGAGAGTGGGAGGGAAACTCCCACTCCAGTTTTTTTCCGGGTCCAACTCAAGGCATTGGCTATCACCTTTAAAGCCCTACATGGCATGGGTCCAGGCTACCTCAGAGTCCTTGGGTTCTCTGAGCTTGGTTGGTTTCTTGCAAACGTTTCGTTACCTGGCTCGGTAACATCTTCAGTGCTAGGACTGTCTCACCCCCATTACATCGACCCGTCCCACCTGGTCCGGCAGAGAAGGCACGTTACGGATCCCATCGGTGAGAGAATGTCGACCGGCGGGTCCTAGGAGGAGAGCCTTCTCTGCCGTTGCCCCTGCCCTATGGGATACTCTTCCCCACAGAGGTGAGGCCGGCCTCTACCCTCCCAGTTTTCCAGAGGGAACTGAAGACTTGGCTCTGCCAACTTGCGTGGGGCGAGGAAAGATACAACCGACCCTGGGGATGGCTGGCACCCTGAAGACGATCCCTGAGTTTATTAACACCTAATTAACATCAGCCTCTTGGAAGTATTATGTAGGGAATTTGCATATTTTAATTAATTAATTAACATTTATCTATTTTAATTAACGTTCACTCTGTTTTGACTGTAAACCGCCCAGAGTCGCTCTGCAGTGAGATGGGCGGTGACAAATTTGAAATGTAAATAAATAAATTGTTTTGTGGAGATGAACGTCAATTGCCACAAGTCTTTTGGAAGTGTGGTGGTACCGCAGTGCAGTTTGCAAGTAAGTAAGTAAATAAATACAAAAGTCTCTGTGCTCCTGGGACAGAATCTAACCAAGGAACAAGTGAGCCAGTAATGAAAGGTTGTGATGTACGTCGGGAGATCTAATGATCTCCAGCAATGCTTCTCATGATTAATCTGAAGGAAAGTCATAACTTTCATAACAAAAAACAACAGAAACGGCGCCAAGTAAATAGAGCATGTTACGATTATGAAAAAAGTCACTACAGTTATACAGGTTGGTTCAGTTTCTTTGTGGAGGACTGGAAGTTGCTTCCAGATTATTTGAAAAACCGGTTGAGGCAGGAAAACCTTGAGGTGCAAATTGCAGGCCTTATAATCATCTTAATGGAATTTCCTAAGGGTGACAGAAGGATGGGCGTGCTGGATTTGCACCAAACCTTTCCACTTTCTCTTTTTACAACCAATTACTCCATTGCACCAAGATTGTAGTAGTTTGTGTGCACAAATAAAAAATACGTTTCTAAGGAGAGCAGAGTGTTTTTCGTGAGCTTGTTCTGATTTTTCAGACAGAGAAAACTTCAGAATGAGGGCATCTTGCAAGTGCATCGTGCATCAGACTTTCTTCAGATGCCGACATGCTGAGCTGAGGCACGCATCAGTTGAAACAACCAGATTTGAATGCGGACACTCCACCATGATGAGATGAGTTTACCATCTCTCCTCCTTCCCCCCAGGAGAAGACATGCAAAGACAGGAACAAATGAAAACATTAACCATAAGATGCAGAACTCCAAGAAGTCACCCTCCATCACAGGGAACCCAAGGAAGTTGGCTGAACATCAACCTCACCGTTACCAACCAACAGACATCTTCCAAAAAGGATACTGAGTGATGACGTTCATCATGAGATAGAACCACATTATGGGTACGCTGAGCCCAATCACTGGCACTTGGAAGGGTTCTGTGGAGAAGAGAGGATAGTAAGGAGGGGCCCTTCAAAGAACATGCTTGGGGCTGCCTGCAAAAGGGAAGGAAGAGGGAACGGATCCACCAGAACATCTACCCTCAATTTCATTCTTCTGTCTCCCATCAACATAATAAAGCCAAAACTTTGTTTCACCTACAGTTTCAGGAGGAGAAGCCTTCTGGAAGCCAGAAAGCAGAGAAAGAGTTTCTCCCCTGTAATTCCACTCTGTTCTGAGGAGGACCACTCAACAGCATTGAGACTTCTGCATTCCTTGGCTGCCCTGTGGTAAAGTAGGGTTGCTTCTTATAAGTACCCCATCTACTCTGCATGCAGAAGACCTCATGTTCAAGCTCCAATATCTGCAAGTAGATCTGGGGAAAACCTCCCTCTGCCCAGACCACCACCAGGAAGGGTAGAGAGGAGGACACGGCCCAAGACCAACCAATGGCCTAATTCAGAGAAAGCCATTTCCCGGATGCCACACAGATGCTTGATTCGGCACACTCGTACCGATACTAGGAGATGCGGCAGCAGCAGTGGGGACAGAAGAAGAGGGAGCTTGCTCTCTAAATATGGAAAGGGTGCGCTTGCAGGCACTCAGCGCCACATCTGCTACCTTGGAAGCAAGCACATTTGCAACTCCCAGAGGTGGATACAGGAGCCACCTGGATGCAGAAAAAGCACCAAGCGGGCAGTCTCTTCCAGGCTAGTAGACCTCTGGAAAAATAAGGGAGCTGGGGGGAAGAAGGCAGCTCCAAACGAAACCTTGGTAGTTTACAGCTACAAGCAAACAGCAGGCTGATGGTCTTGTCAGGATGCAGATCAGAAAAAGATCGGTTCTCCAACTGAGGGATTGGAGAGCTACAGCCCTGATCTTCTGTCCTTGAAACACCTTCATGGCAGCTGCACAAATCTGCCTAAGGCAGAGGGAAATCACTGCTCCCTCCTATTATCTACCTCCTATTATCTACCTACCTAGCTGTTTTGTCAATAATCTCATAAAATTAGCAGCCTGTTAAAACTGGCAGGGGGCAATTAGAACTGGCCGGCAAGAAGTCTTGTGAAGGGAGCCCCAGGCACGGCATTCGCCCATCTGCTTCCTTCACAGGACTCCCTGCCTGCAAGTCCTGGTTGCCCTTGGCTCTTGGCTGCCCATGGGTAGCACTGAAAGAGGCTTAGAGGAAACAACCTTCCATTAAGACAAACTATGGTTTATCAAGCCCATCAGTTCGCACATTATGCTAAGCCATAACTTGGTTTCCTTGCCTTCGACTTAGTCTTTCAACCCATCCAATGGTGGAGTTGAAGTCCACACACCTTTAAGTTGCCAAGGATGAGAAACACTGCTCTGGCCTCTTGCTTTGGATAACCAAATATCAGCTGAGCTCAAACATATCCCCAAATACTAAGACGAGCCATGCCAGTTTGGAGAAGGAGAGGCCATCAAGTGTCTCTGGAAGGGTTGCTAAATTTCTTGCAACTCCCACTGCAACTAGACGTTTAATTGTCTAGCAATCTTTTTTTTTAATAGTATTCTATTGAAATTTTAAAATTACAAAGTTAAAAGTTAGAAATGAAAAAGAAAATTGGAAATACAAATTATAAAAAGTTAAAAGTTAGAAATGAAAAAGAAAATTGGAAATACAAATTATAAAAAGTTAAAAGTTAGAAATGAAAAAGAAAATTGGAAATACAAATTATAAAGAAAAGGAAAAGAAAAGGTGAGATAAAGTAAAAGTAAAAGAAAAAAGACATGAAAAATAGATAGCTTCCAATCAATCTCTGGTCTTAAGAATAATATAAGTGTCATAAGTGCTAGTTTTTAATGCATTAAGTAGA